AGGAATAATAACGACCTGGAATGGGGGCTTTTCTCGCTTTTAGTATTTTGCTTTCCTGTTGCGTGATCCAAGTTCTATCTGGGAGTGCTCTTTCCTAAATAACCTACAATACTTAGAGATTACCCAGTAGTTTCAGTTCAGTTCGATGCACCAAAGTGTCGTGGGCGCAGTCGCCACGACTCGCGTCGCCAGAGTGGCAATAAGGAACAATGATAAGTAAATGCGGTTAGACTTAAATATGGTATTAGCATAATGGAAGCCGGAACGAGGTACATGAAACTAATTGCATTGAAGTATGGACCGTTAAACGTAAGAGAAAGAATGCAGGTGCAGCACTGATTCCGACAATGCGCCACGTCCGATAGAGTGTCTAACCACTGGTTTGGACTAGCACGAGGCCCCCATCCACTTACCTGCCTGACCAAGTCTCTCGGTCAATTTCTTCATACCCTTATGCCACCTCATCAATTAAATACCTCGTGGTTTCGCCCAACTTGGTGTAGCATGTGCTGCAGGCAGTCAAGTTGCCCATGATTGAGTTTGCTTTCGACTCAGACACACTACAACATATTATTTGTTGAAATTGAATCGCTAATGTTGGTTGGGTCATGTACTCCATACCTCAGTTGACCGCCTACATCGATGAGCATTATACGCCGTGGCTACACCAAGTTGGGCGAAATCACGAGGTATTTAATTGATGACGTGGCATAGGGGTACGAAGAAATTGACCGAGAGACTTGGTCAGGCAGGTAAGTGGATGGGGGCCTCGTGCTAGTCCAAACCAGTGGTTAGACACTCTATCGGACGTGGCGTATTGTCGGAATCAGTGCTGCACCTGCATTCTTTCTCTTACGTTTAACGGTCCATACTTCAATGCAATTAGTTTCATGTACCTCGTTCCGGCTTCCATTATGCTAATACCATATTTAAGTCTAACCGCATTTACTTATCATTGTTCCTTATTGCCACTCTGGCGACGCGAGTCGTGGCGACTGCGCCCACGACACTTTGGTGCATCGAACTGAACTGAAACTACTGGGTAATCTCTAAGTATTGTAGGTTATTTAGGAAAGAGCACTCCCAGATAGAACTTGGATCACGCAACAGGAAAGCAAAATACTAAAAGCGAGAAAAGCCCCCATTCCAGGTCGTTATTATTCCTAATGTGAAAGGCCTAGTTGAAAGTGGTGCCTATTTTCGTACAGTAATTCTCGGGAAGCTTATTTTCAGTCTACCGGCATGCCCACCATAACTGCGTTTTAACATTACCTTTGATACAAATACGGGCACATCAGAAACTTATTTCTCAGGTGTGTGCTAGTTGTGCATCATGTGTACGTCCGTCCGACAACGCGATGGCCAATTTTTACCAGAGTAGGCGCTATACATAACGGTTACTTCAGTGCTACAGCTAAACATCGGTCAGTACAGAGCCCACAGGCAGCCAGTTTTCCACGAAACATTAAACCTCAAACACAGACCAGGATGTATCGATGGTTCACATGTGGATAATCTGCGCCTCGTCGCGGAGAAGCATGCAGCGCCGCGGTGCATCATGTGAGATCCGACTGGATATCCGGATTGTCGTTAGAATTCCTCTGGGTTTTCTCAGGGCGCGTAATGTGCGGCAATTTACGGTTCGTCACTGAAAATCGGTGGACATTTCCCGGACAGGCTGTAGGTGTACTGTTTAAATGAATAAATAAATTTTTATTTTTATTTTTGACAAAGCAAGGCACATTTTTTGTGCATGATCAACATTCCGCTCCACGCAGTGCACGCGTCATGCCTACTTCACGCATATCACGCTGAAGTACGATGACATATTTTAGCGGGTGTGCGTGAACACTCCGTTTGTGCGTCCAAGTTGCTATATCACTCGCACTCGGTGCATACCGAATGTTCGTGATCGTTAGGCCGTGGGTGGCACATAGTGAGAGCAGCCTGTTACCGTTCACATTCGCTGAACCAATGCCATGCGCACGGATGACATCTGTCCACACCGATGCATCACGCCCAACGCGCGCGTTGAAATCACCCTGCAGAATTGTCCCCGATCGTTCACTGCATAGACCCTACCACAGAGGATAATTGAGTGCGAAACTCTCCCCTCGTGTCATCAGGATAACAAAGTGGCAAACCCACCTCTCCCGAGTCGTAGGCGAACAGTCATCAGTCGCGCGTTGATGCCAATGGACTGACCCACCAATTGACCATTTAGGCGATCGGATATTTCAAATCCGTCGCCATGTTCATCTGCTACTGAGATGGCGTTTCCCACCCAGCAGAACGTATAGCCGGCACCTGCTTCAAGCAAGTTACCTTACTCAACGAGCCGGGTCTTGCAAAGCGCCGCAAAATCGATGTTGTGGCGCGCCAGTTCCATCGCGACCAGTGCAGTGCGCCGGCCAGGGCGCTTACTCGTATTCCGGTCCAGCAGTGTGCGCACGTTCCATCACCTGACGGTGAGCGCTTTGCGCGGTGGCATACGATTACTTTGGCAGGCAACCGTATAGATGCTGACGACCTGCATTGGAGGAAGTAGTAGGTTAGGTGAAACGGTGACAGGGAGAATAAATGCAGGGGAAGAATAAAAAAGGGTGGCGCCAGCAATAGCATATTTTCTCTTATCCATTCTGCTGTATGTAACAGATAAGGCGACCCTTTGCCTAAGGCCACTGCTCGACGACTGATGCAGCATGGATTTATTATTTTTACGGTAATTCCTGGTTGAGGGTTGGACTCGGTTGCTGCCAGGGCGTCCATACCTGACAGAACGACTCGGGTCCTCAGCCGAAGCCTTCGATAAAGTGTACACCCGAAAATCAGCGAGCCGCGCACCATCAGTCAGTGAACCGACACACGCGGAATTGTGTATTCTGGATCTTAGCTAGAAGAATGGGGACACAACTTCCACCCAGTGATCGCCACGAGGCGGAAGAGCCCATGATGCGCTGAGGCTTGTGGTGACGAGATCCTAACAGATCTTTGACCCCATGCTGCTCATGTCCTGGACGACTTCTCATGACGACCGCTAGGTGGGAGTTCGGTTACACCATTCTTCTAGCTAAGATCCAGGACACACAATCCCGCGTGGGTCGGTTCACTGACTCATGGTGCGCTGCCTGCTGCTTTTCTGGTGTACACTTTATCGAAGGCTTCGGTTGAGGACCCGCGTTGTTCTCCTATCTGGTGTGGACGCCCTGCCTCACGCTAGGGTTGATGTTGCATTCATGATGCTTCTTCACGGTCGTTGGGCTAAACCAACCTACACTTAAACTAGGTCCTTTTAATCTGGTTAAAAGTCATTCTTCTTTATTTGGTCTGTTCTGTTATTCTGCTGCATATTTTGTGTCATTTTTGAGTGTTTGCTTACTATTAAATTCTTTATAAGAAGCTTTGCTAGCTTTACATGACCGTTCATAGCAATCGACGACAGTGTTTTAGGACGTGGTGGGTTTTCGCCTGGCAAGCGTTCTCCCTATAAAAAGCCACAAAGGTCCGTTTATCAACACTGTGACGTGGCGGACGTGACTCGCCACTGAATAAAGTCACTGCCCACTGTTACACACTGGAATACCGATAGTCATTATTCAATATTTTACTGTCACGTACAACAAAGATACTCTCCGCATTCATCTACTGTCCCCACTCCACTTACCGTGCTTTTTTATTTACTTTACGCACACTTGAAACCACTTTATTGGCACTCCATTGATGCGTTTGCTTCTCATGAGTGCTTCGACTGTTTCTGCAAATTGTGCAACCTTTGGCCACAGCCAATTACATGCCTTGTAAAGCATCTCTTGCGCCACATAATCGTTTGTAAATTCTGATCATACCTGAGGTGGTATGGCTCGATGAATTCGAGAATAAAATATTTATTTATTTTATAGGAAGAAATTCATCATAGTGAGCGGTGCTATACCACATCTAGTAACTTATTCACGATGGTCGTTGCCGTCCCCCGTAGCTCAGTGGTCTCAACCACGGACTGGCAACAGTCGAGTTGCGGGTTCGAGCCCAACCAGGGCCCGATGGAATGCGCACTGCTGACGATTCCCGAAAGGATGAAACGCGCGTACAGTACTTTTTCGGGTGTGCGACGGCTGTCTGAGTGAGCCTAGATGTGATGAATTTCTTCCTATAACATTCAACTCTCCCTACTACTCTTCTGCAATTTATTTATTTATTTAGCTGTGGCTGCACTTGATGTGAAGGTTGACAAGGTGCCTACCTGTCTGACACCCTCCACCTTGATTGTTGGCTCCGGAAGACTATGAATCGTTGCGGGGGGGGGGGACGAGTTGCATGGTCCTCGTGGCTGTACTAGGTTCAAAGAGTGGTTCCATGAACGTAGTGTGAAGCGGACTGCGGCCCAGCGATCGCCTTGTGTACGTCCAGTACGCATGATTCCCTACATAGATAGACTGGAATGCTGCTGCTATGCATGTTGAAGGAGCGTTGGCTGGCTCTATTGACGAAACGTGGCTCCCATCCACATGCTTCCCGGTCTTATTCCTTCGGGTTTACACTGGGTATGGGGTGTGTGGATGGAGCTGTGGGTGGTACAACGTAAGTCACCCATGGTCCCTCTGTAGGCGCAGACCTGTAGCTGTCCTATGGAAGCCACAGTGACAGGCAAATCCGGAACTCGATGCGACCAATCATATATATATATATATATATATATATATATATATATCCATAGCTGCTCCTCTGTATGTTTTCACAATCTGATCCTAGGCTTCTCCAATGTTCATGTGTCCAAGTTATAACCCTCAACTTTCTTTCTGCAAGTGACGTTTCGTTTCTCTGACCCTGCGCGAATTGAGTCGTACACTTAAAACGCACCAGTTGGAGAGTACATACTCGTCTTGGGAGTGTGCAGTGCGGTTCGATACCCGTGTAACTTAGTTCGATGAAAATCAACTTCTCTACTGCACTCCAATAGGCACCTGTGTGCCACCCAATATATCCTCCTTATAACACAGATAAATATCATCAGAGGTATAAATAGAGAAACACGTCCTGTCTACAAATACGGAAATAGATAAACCGAAAGGGGAACACATTTGGGATACACATTTAGAAGAAACTGATTACATTTGCCACTGGTTACCAGAAAGTGATAAACAGCATCATCGGTTGTGCGGCTAATTCATGCGTGCGTACTTCATGACATGATCGAATTCCCCTTCCTCAGACACCCAAATTTGGCACGCGGTGAACAAGCTAATCTCTCTGCTACTAGCAGTGGTCAAACCCATTTCTGTCAGAATGTTATACGTAGTCTCCAGTGGTGGCATGTTTGGATAGATTGGATACTGCATTTCGCGGGCACCCAGGATATTTCCATGATAGGTGAATTGCGCGAAAGCCCGAATCAGCACCTCTTTTTGTTCGGCAAACAGTGATTCGAACTCGGGTCGCGTGCCTTCTCCACACTCGAAAGCGTCGTCAATGAGATAAAAAGGAATATCACAGTGTGCGCCTTGTGCATTCACGTAGGGTTGTGCACGTATTCGGTTCAGAATACGATATATCGGACCGACTTTTATATGCCCTCCGAGTTGCAAATGCTTAGCGTAAACGTTATACGGGCATACGCCACGTAGATCGTCCCGAATCGTATCATACAACGCTCTGTAGTTGATATCGCTGGGTGCCTGATCTTCTCTGCGCCATGCAATTAAGTTGCCCAGAAATCCCTGATAAGCGTTCCAGATGGCGTCTGCGTATGGAAGCTGAGAAGTGGGCTTGTGGAATGTGTTCAAGGCATCCTTGACCTGTTTCTCGGTTTCACTGAGAGTCCAATGGTCTGAGGTGTTCCAGCCGGCACTGAAATTGTACGGCTTGTTCAAATCGGAATAAATTACTATGGGAACATCTCGAATACTTCGCGTCCACGACTTAACTCGTGGATGCAGCATTCCCAATGGATTTTCAACCCGGGTCTCAACCAAATCTCGTTTGATCAGTGAGGTACGAACTTCGTCCGCATACGGCAACAGCGTTGAATCTGTGAGCTCCGAATGTCGCCATACCAGAGGAGTTTTCTCAAGCCAGGTGTTCACGCTCACGTTCGACAAACAAATATGTTTTCGGCCAAGTGGGTGGCTGCGCTCGCTTAGCACCGTCGTCCCATACTTGTTGGTCCACTGCGTGCATAGGTCATCCAAATCCGGATCGTTTAAGATGAGCTCTCGGAACGCATCTTTTGAATCGGGTACATCCGGTATTACCACGGACCCATCGGATAACCATATGTGAGTAAAAAGTGGGCGGCGTCTGTAATGTAAAGCATAGCAAACGATATCAGACTCGCCAAACGATAATTCGGTTACAGACTTTTCGCTACTGATCGAATAGGTGTCCTAAGTGCAGAGCAGTAAGTGGCTCCACCGATGGATACTGACCTTCAATCAAATCACGAGGCGAGGACCACCAATAACTAGGCCCATTTTTATGTAGATTGCAACTGTCAGTAACCTCGGATCATCCAGACTTGCTGTGTAGTTACCTACAATTGCTATTGACCGTTGTAAAAATAACTAATATATGGGATGAATCTTAGCAATTTTACCAATGGTCATCACTATCGTTATACACGTTAGTTAAAGGTGTAAAGCACCTCAGCTACCGTGCCGCAATACTTAAAAGAAAAAAGTAAATACAACAGTCGCATGGCAGCTGAGCTATCAGCAACAGATGGGCATCGTTCCGGAAAGCTACCAGCCGGCTACTAGACAACAAGAAAAGTATTAGGTAAAATTCTGTTGCGCTACGAAATGAGATCGTGGTTGGAGGATGAGGCTAAAAGGGATGGGGAGGGACAAAGAAACTCACAGCACGAACGGCACTGAGGTCGGCTCCTAGCCATATTAGCAAGTGTATCTAGTCAACCGTCTTCATCGTATTGTGGACCCCAACCAGGGAGCCGAGACGCTCCAACCGAGGCCAGCTCCGAAGCGAGGAACTACCTTCCTCTCGACCAAGTCATCATTTGGTCACCCCTTTTCTTCCATCCACATCCCCGGTGAGCAAACAACGCACGTCACGGAACTCGGTGGGCTGGCATGCGCAACACGTGGTCGAGCCATCGGAGCCCGGTGCGTGAAATGACGGTGCTGAGCGGTTCAGTTCCTTTTCCTGTGCCGTAAACAAGGCGTCGAACACGCTGGTTGCTCACGCGGTGTTCCCCACAGATGTGAGCCAAACTGCGAAGGCACCGGTGGTCGAACCTAACTAGCTGCTTTATGTCCGCTGATCTAAGGGGCCAGGTTTCGCAACCGTAAAGTAAGGCCGAAAGTATCGATTGATTGAACACTCTCCCCTTTAGGGCGAGAGTGATGTCGCGCCGCAGCCACAGGTGGCAAAGACTAGTAAAAGCACCTTGAGCTTTTGATATACGGTTCATGATCTCATCTTCGATCCCAAGGGCGCTGATATAACTTCCCAGGTAGTTGTATTTCTGAACGACTTTTGGCTGATCCCTACCAACGATCAGCGCAGGAGGCGATGCCTGCCAGTCTTGGAGGAAAGCATTGCACTTCGATGGTGCAAAGCAAAGCCCGAAGCGACGGACAGCCAGTGCTGATCTGTCCAGTGCAGCTTGACAGCTCGTTCTCCTGGGGGTAGCTCCACACCTTCTAAATCGTGTCCTGTAAATGCAATCTCCATGACTTCGTCAATAGCGAACTTGAATAGGAAAGGTGACAACGGGCATCCTTGTCTCGCACCGCTGGAGATAGTGAAGGGTGGCGACAGCTTGCTATAAGCAGTCATTCTGCCCTTGCTAGGCGCGTATAATGCTCGGATAATGTTTACATATCTCTCGAGCACACCTTTCCTGATTAGACAATTTCAAAGGGCACATTGATCAACTGAAACGAAAGCACCTTTGATGTCGAGGAACACGACTACGGTGGACCACCAATATATGTGACGGCGCTCCAACAACTGGGGCAAGGTGAAGATGTGGTCGATGCAGCCACGACCTCGACGAAACCCGGCTTGCCCCTCACGAATCTAGCTTTCATGAGCGCCAGTCAGTCTTTGAGGCATTATGGAGGTAAGTAATTTTGAGGCGATGGGCTTCACACTGATTCCTCTATGGTTGGCGCATTCCGAACGCCAGCCTCCTTTGAAGATGGGGACAATAACGGAGCGGCTCCAGTCGGTTGGGACAGTTGCCCGCTCCCACAGTTTCACTAGTAATACATGTAAATCATCAAAAAGAGCAGTGCCCCCGAATTTGAAGAGGGCTGGAGGAAGATCATTTGGTCCCGCGGCTTTGTTCAGCTTCAACAGTCCGACCTCATGTTTGACTTTTGAGCGAGAGGATGGATCCAAAGGGACAGCCCATGGAGGAGGGCGATCACTGGTCGGTAAGTAATCGAACAGTTCCGACTGATTAATTTGCTTTTCAAAATGCTCAGCCCAACGCTCCAAACTTTTTGACAAATTGTGGATAGACTGTCCACACTCGTCACAAATTGTTTCATTATCACCAGGTCTCCTGCTGCCCGTTTCCGGTATAAAACAAAATAACTTTCGGTGGTTACCAAGAGCAGCGACCAATTCCATCTCTGACACTCAAAGAGACCACTAAGATTCGCGGTCTCTCTTCAGGCTAGCACGGAGTTTTGCCCGGGGCTCTTTGCGATTTTCATTGTGTTCGCTTCCGGCCGGAATATGCCGGTGAGCGTCGATAAGTTCCAGAGACCGCAAAGAGACCCAATGTCCATGTTGGCTATTAGACGTAACACATGAGGATTTGCCTGCTGCTAGTAAGGACTGGTGAGTATGAAACCAGTGACCTTTAACTGCATTCGGTTAGCGCTTACTCAAATCGCATGTCAGCGTACTTTGATAGGCATTCAGAACAGCTAGCTTTGTCTGTTGGCTGGTGTCAATGCGCTCACAGCGTCGTCGTGGTGTCAGGTCTCGAACGGCCTGCTCCGAGGAAGGTACGTGCGCAATTTCCCCAAGTAACCTTGTGTCTTGTGTCAGAACAGTCTCAGTTACAAGCAGAATAGTGATTTTCTGTGTTGCAGAACATCTGTTACTATCGCTTGTATCATACCAGAAGCTGCTAAGTCGAACCCATGAGGACACAACACTTGGGCGTCTTTCAAAACGCATGTCAACATAAACAAGTGCATGATCGGTGTCCACACATGTGCTCCAAATCGAGCGACCGTTCTGGATGCATCCTCTCCATCGGTAACTGACTGCACGGTGATCGATTTGTGTCCAAGTTTGGTTGGAGGCTGGTGGGCGCCAAGTCACTCTCCGGCGGGTGTTGTTTCGGAAATTAGTGCTCGCAAGAAATAAGCGGGCATCTTCACGCAAATGAAGTAACCACTCACCGCTATCATTGCAGGAGCCTACACCGTGCTGATCGCCCAGATGCATTTCATCAGTGGACAACTTTTCAACTTGTGCGTTCAAATCCCCAGGCAGCACAACAGTGTCCGAGCTTCTTCTGTGGCGAAGGAGCTGGGTCATTTGGCGGTAGGAGTCGTTTTGTACCGAATCATCGCTACAGTTCGTGGACGCTTATGCAGCGTTGATGAATAGACACCTATTAATCCCAGGCGACTTCGAAGCTTTGAGCGCGTCAGCCAATCGGACCGTACACATTCGGCTACTGATTGGAATCCAATCAACCAGAGCAGCTTCAGCCCGGGGACTCTGGGCAATACCAACACCGGCTTGGCCGGTGCTCGAAGCTGCATCGTCACCGGATAGGTGCAACGAGAAAATACTGCTTGAGTCACCTGAAGGGGATCGCAGAGTGCGCATGGAGCTCGGGTCTTGCAGGCGAGTCTCCGATAAGCAGCAGATATCGATCGAAAGGGTCTCTAATGTTCGGGCAAGTGCTGCTTGTTGACAGATATGTAGCAGTGTACACAAGTTGAGGCATGCCGATCTGAAGGATGATCGAGGGCTCCAAATGGAAGCTGATGAACTGCAGTGGACAGCGTGGTTAGACACGGGCTTTGTCGATAGGACAATAATGACGCTCCGCGTTAGCATGTGAGTTGAAACTAGAAGATAAACGCCTAGCAAAGCATGCTGGGGGAGGGCTAAGAATCGGAGGGTTGAAAACTGGGGGGATAAAAGTGAAGCTGGAAAAGGACCATAAGGGAGAAAAAACGTAAGAAGACGGGAAGACTTGAGCAGTAGCATCCAAGCCCCTACCCCCGCTGCTCGATGCAGCAGATAGGGCACCGTTGATTATCCTCTGCGGTGGCCAGAGCATGAGGAATTTTATCTGGAAAAAGGTAGAAACATAAAGGAAAACCATTATTTTAGCAATTAATCGATTAGCTTCTATAATGCATTGATTTCGTAGATTTCGGAACCTTCCATTCCTTCACGTGATCTCCAGCATACGAAGTTTTGGCAGGGAGGCTACTAATTTTCCTACTTGACCGTCGTTTTCTAGAAGCCAAAGGCAACGGAGCCCCTATATACTTGGGGTAAGTCTGGCGTAGTTTGTATGGCGTTTTGGCGGCATTTTTGGCTACGTTGGCAGCATTTTTGTTAACACGTCTTTGGTGGCCAAGGTTGTTGGACTTTTGATTTTTCTTCAGCTGGGCTAGAATATTTGCGGAAACACATCTTCACATTGCGTCAAGTGTTGGAGCACCACCATGTTTATTGGCGACCCACCGTTGTCGTGTTCCTTTACATAAAAGGTGCCTTCGACTCAGTCGATCGATGTGCCCTTTGGGACTGCCTGCTGAGGAAAGGTGTGCCTGATAAATATGTAAATATTATCAAAGCGCTGTACGCGCATAGTTCGGGCAGGGTGAGGGTTTATGGCAAACTCTCGCCACCCTTCAGTATCACCAGCGGCGTGAGACAAGGATGCCCGCTGTCACCTTTCCTCTTCAACTTCGCTATTGATGAAGTCATAGAAACAGCGTTCGCTGGACACGACCTAGAAGGTGTGGAGCTACTTCCTGGTGAGCGACTTCTTGACTTGGAGTATGCGGACGATATTGCCCTAATCTGTGACAGTCTCCAAACATGCCAAAGAGGACTGAACCGATTAGCACTGGCTGTCAGTCGTTTTGGGCTATGCTTTGCTCCATCAAAATGCAAAGTACTTCTCCAAGATTGGCAGGGACCCAACCCTGCGCTAACGCTTGGTGGTGATCTGCTAGAAGTCGTTCAGGAATTCAAGTACTTGGGCAGCTATATTAGCACCCGTGGGATTGAAGATGAGGTTACGAACCGCATAGCAAAAGCTCGAGGTGCTTTTGCCAATCTCCACC